ACGGGCCGGCCCTGCGGCTAGCCCGCAGCCAGTCCCGCCGGGGGACATCCCCCTCCGGCCGGGCCACGCAGCCAGCGGCGCCGAGGGCAGCGTGCTCCCCTCCGTGCTGCCCGACCTGCCCACCTGCTGCGGGAAGCGGCGCGGAGCCTCCCCGCAGACCTGCCCACACACACGGTTTCTCCCCCCCAGCTCACAAGACACACTTTTCTCTGGTGGTTGCCACTGCACGGATTAAACCCCCAAGGACCCCTGGCTGTTTGAAGACCCTCGGGGCCCAACTCCCGAGCCCCAGACATCAGCTGGCACCAGTTTGACTCCAGCCCCTGCCATCAGACCCTGGTGTCCCTCTGTACACTGTGTGCCAAGCAGCCCCGGGCCAGGGCTGTAAAGAGGGCTCTTCACTGGGGAGCCCAGAATCCAGCAGGAAAACACTGATAAATGTTAAATAAAGAGTTAATTGTCAAAACAAGCTGGCGGTTGTCTCTGTCCCAAGCAGCCACCACCCCAGGGACTCCGTGCAATCTGGAGATATAACTCAGCATCTATGTCTTTAGATGCAACTGCTTGGCCATGGGCTATAGAAGGACAAGGCTCTCGTGTCATCCACGGACAATTCTGCTGGCAATAATGTGTGTAACTGTGAAATGGGTGCTTGGCTGCTTCACCAGGGCACCACCTCTCCAGAGCTGAGCTCAGGAGAAGGAAAAGGGGGTGGGGAGCTATCACACTGAAAGCAGAGCGGCTGGAGAGGTGGAGGAAGAGCCACAGGATACCTGCTCCAGGACAAGATCCTTTTTTGGGGGAGCCGGTTCTGTCACCGCAAGGTGGCTCAGAAATCTCTGCATCTCCACCAGGTTGGGCAGCTGGTCAACGAGGACGTCTGTCAGGAATGCACGGAGCTGCAGCCACGGAGGGGAAGAGCAGAGTGAATGGAGAGATGTCAAGACAAGGGAGCCAGAGCTGGGGAAGCAGCATGGCAGGAGCAGCGATCTGTGGGGCACCGGCAGAGCGACCCGCGGGGGTCCCACGAGGTGCACTCGCAAACACAAGGTTTGCTGCTGCTGGCAGGGTGACAGACCCCGCTGCTCTCCCACCACTGGCTGCTAGCAGCCCACGGCAAGGATGGGGCGAGATGCCCAGAGGTGCCTAGCGCTGGCAAGGTCCTACTCCATGCTGCGGGGCCCATGGCCTTCGTGGTGCGGGGTCCTACCTTGAGGAGCTGGCTCTTGTTGAAACCATCGAAGTGGTATTTGCGCTGGCACTCGGGGCTGAGCATGAGGTTGAGGAGGGCAAGCCACACCTGACCATCGAGTTTGGTCATCTTCACCTGGTCTTCAGGGGGCACCACGTGCCACGTGCCATTCTCAAACTTCTTCAGCTTGCCTGAGGGACAGAACGACACGCAGCTCCAGGGGGAGACAGCGCTGCCCGAGGGAGGACAGCCCAGCAGCGGGGATGCCGGCCTGCGCTCACAGCCTCACAGAGGCAAGACCTCTGCTTCTGTCTGCCTCGGTTTCCCCACCCCTTTGCTCAGCGTAGCAGCCTTCTTGGTACGGATACAATATGTTAAGAGAGCATGAAAAGTATAAGGAATATGTATTAAAACAATAGGGCTGTGGCAGGAACTGAAAGATCCCTGCGATATCTCCCTCTGTGCTTGGCCAGGAGCGTAGGGCACTGGTGGGGGAGCCCATGCTGCAGCAACAGAGCAGCTGGAGAGACATGTTTTGGGGTATCAGCGTGGCCAATACCTGCTCTTCTGGAGGTTCTTCTGCCTAGGAAAGCCAGAAGTAGCACGAACGCAACAGAAGGGACAAAACAAGCTCCAGGAGCTACTGTGCTGCTCCAGGGCGTGGAGCGGGATGTGACCCTGCATCTACGCAGCCTGGAAATGCCTTTGCACTCTTGTTTCTCTCCAGTGCCTCCCTCAGGGCCCTGGATCAAAGCTCCCTCTGACACCCTGAGCGCACAGGCGGAGAGCAGGGATGTGTTTCCTGTCCGGGGGAAGGAGGGAAGCTCCCACATCCAGCCAGGCTCCTCTCGGCAGGCGCAGAGCCATGCGCTTCCCAGCACCTCTTCCGCCCCTGCCCGTGCCGTGACCCCCGGGTGCCGGGCTGGGGAGGGGTGTGGGTTCCCACGTCCCAGGCTGTGCCCCACCACCACCCAGAGGCAGGCAGCGGGTCTGAAAAAAAAATCTGCAGTCAAAACGATTTCAGATTTCTGAACTGCAAGCTACAGATGGTCATGGTGTAAGATGTAGCTTCACATCATCACAACAACAGATCAATAGATGATTAAAATGCTAGTTTAATTTCAAAGCTATTGTCTCCATTTCCTTCATGTCGGAAAACTTCTCGCATGTGAAGGTAAGCCTTAGCTGGAGGGTGTGTGCTGAGTCTGTGCAGAATGACATGTTGGTTATAGAGAGGATAAAAGGGGACATAGTGCTTGCAGACAAATGCCAGAACAGATACAAACGCTCCCTGAGGCAACTGGGAGAGGCAAAAAAAGCCAGTGATCCGGGTTCCTCCAAGTACCAGGGAGCAGGGTGGAGTGCTGCTGCGTTTGGCCCCCGGGGCACAGTGCCGCTGCCAGCGGGGACACAGCCAGCTGCTGAAAGGGGCCCAGGCGCCTGCTGCGACCCCACGGCAGTCCCAGTCGGAGAGCTCGGCGCTCGTCCTCTGCTGCTGCTGGGCACCTACCTCTCCACCTGATCGGTGATGAACCGCAGCACGGACAGGGCTTTCAGGGAAATCTCAAACTCCATCGTCTCCGCCTGCTTCTGCAGCTCCTGCAGAGGGACACACACAGCCCGGGAGCTTCAGGCCCCTTTTCCCAGGGGCTGCAGGCTGGCAGCCTGTTGGCTGCACATCGGTAACCACAGACTGGGGAGGAAACCGCAGCCCTGCGACACAAACTCTGCTTCTCATCTCGACCGTGCCAGCGCTGCCTGTGCTTGCAGCCCACTGTTGCTCATCCCTCATCTGCCTACCCCTTACAGATCACGGGGGGCTGCTGGCAGCAGCGCCCAGCACAGGGACACCCCCTGAAAGAGGCCAGTCCCAGATGGCTCCTCTCTCCCCTTCTGGGATCATCTGAGGCCCACGAGATATGTGAGGCTGAGGGAGGGGGCAGCTGCATGATCAGCAGAGGAACTGGAGGAGGAGGAGGAGAAGGAGGGGGAGAAACTTGGCCCCGGCGCAGCTGCAGTCCTACATCCACTGCTCCTGGATCTGCCTCCCCCCTCCAGCTTGCGGAGTAGAATAGCTGGAGTATCTGCCTGCGGTTATCCCAGCCCGCAGCTGCGCCGCGCTCTCCAGCTACCCGGCCTCCTCCCCTTCCCAGGCAGCGCGGACACCCCGCTCCTGCCCCACACGCTCAGGCTAACAGCCTGACCACCCTCTGACTCGGCCTCTTCGGGGACCGTCGGGATGGCTAGGCTGAGAGGTGCCAAGTCCTTCTTGAGGCAGAGCTTCTCCTCTCCGCTCCCCGATGCTCCGCAGCTCACATCTTCGTGCGCAGAGCACTGACCTCAGCAACTCCTACTCCTCTAAAGCGCCACTGCAACAGTTCCCTTCCAAATTCCTGTGGTGAGCAGCCCTGCGCTCCCCGTGCTGGAGCCCCACACGCTACCAAGAAAGCTTTTTGGGCTCTTCCCCTGCACCTCCCTCTCCACACTCCCTCCGTGAGACTGTTTCCTACAGCTCCTGCTGGCACCCAGACCTCATATCTGCTACCTTCAGGCAGGGACTATCTTGTCCGTGCTTCTGGGGGACAGCAGAGCAGGTCCTGCTCCAGGGGTTACCACCGTACACAGTCACAAAGGACAACAGGCTCCACAACACAAGAGAGGGCAGGAACAGCTCTTTAGTAGGGGGTTATTGTATGTAGAGTCAGGAGGGGCTGGAATGAATCAGAGGAAACCAGGCTCCTTGGGAGACGAGCACTTTTTTGAACCCTATTGGCTAGAAAAGGTCTTTTTTTTTCATTGAGCCATGTCAAAGCTCTAACAGAGACACCCCCTTCCCCTCCACAGCTGGGAAAACATTTCCTGGAAAACATCCCTATTGTGCTGCAGAGCCCTGCACTTCCTTCCCTTTCTGGAAGAGGAGCACGTGCTCGGGCAACAAGCCAAAGGATGGAGGAGATGCGGGGACGCACGGCCAAGCTCGCAAGCTATCACTTTAACCCCACTTCTCCAGCCAGTCCTCGCGATGTGTGCAGGTGAAGGAGAAAACTCGAGGTGCTGAGAAGCAAAGTCCCAGAAACAAAGAGAGTTCTCGCACCAGGAAGGTGTTTGCGGCAGCCCTGAAACTCCTGACTGGGAACAGCTCCGGGCTCGCCGCTGGACCCTACCAGCACAGAGAGCAGGTATTTCTCAGAGAGCTGAGGAACTTGGGAGGAAACACCTTAGGACAATTCCTATTTGTACCATAAATTGGCTTAGGGAGGGACCCCTCTCATGGTTAACCCTGGCTGGCTCCAGCGGCAGCCTGAGCTAAGGCGGTTTCACAAGCTCCCACGAGACATACCCGCACAGCTTTTGAGAGCTACAGCAAAGAGCCAAAACCCTGCACTGAATATTTTGTGTCACCGTCAACTCTCCAGCGTGCCCCCACCCGGAGTGCCAGCTCAGACCACGTCCTGCAGGAAGCCCCAGGCTGGCACTGTCACGAGAGCGGGCGGAAGCGCGGCTGCTGGGAGGGAGGTGGGTGCAGCCGCCAGCCCAGCTGAGCAGCTGGCATGGACCAGCACCAGATGCCCTCCGAGATGGGCGGGAGGTGCTGGGATTGCAGCCAAGGGGTTCTCCACGGGAAGACCCCCCATGGCCTCTTTGGGCTGCCCACATCCTCCAGCTGTGTCCCAGTGAGCTACAGGAATTTCTGCTCACCTGCATGGACAAGGGGCTGGCCAGATCCTCGGGACGAAACTCTGCTGAGGTCACTGACTGTCCATTGGTGCTCCGAGCTGCGAGCAGCGTCAGTTTTCGGTGGCAATAATCTATTAAGTCCAGAATGCTGTCCTCTGCTGACTCGCAGATCTCCTTCACAACAACAAGAGCTTCAGAGAGGGCCAGCCTCCTCAGCCGTGGCTTTCCACTCCCAGGGGTTTTACACTGAAAAAAGCTGAACGTGCCTCTTACCTTGTGAAAAAACACTGTCTCCAAGAGGTTAATGATGGAGGCTTCGTGATGCAGCTGTGGGAGGAAAGCGGCAAGAGTGACGTAACAGCAGAGTGGTCACCAGCACTGAGGACATAGGCAATGGGACCGAGAAAAGGGCTCTTCTAAGAAACTGCTTATGGAGCCGTGGCCAAACGCAAGTCCAAGAGCCAAATACAAGTGATGTAATCTTTCAAACAGCTCCAGTTCATACAGTTCATATTAATATTTATGTTAACATGCCTATGACACTATAACACGCTGACAGAGAACCACGCTTCCCAGCAGGCAGGCCTCTTCAGGGCTCTGTCTCTGCGCTACAGTGACAGTACAACCGTAGCCCTCTGGCAAGCTGCAGCCCCCAGCAGTGGCATGGAAACACTGCCCATGATGGGACAGCGCTCTGCACGGCTGTGCTGCTCAGCCTCTGGGTACCGGGGCAGGCAGCCTTGTCCCAAGGCTGGGAACAGGGGGACGACTGCCTGGAGGCAATGCTGCAGACAAACGGCTGCCCAGGGAAGACACCACCTTTCCCCAGCAAGGTGTTACCCTGGACTGAAGATGGGCTAAAACTTCCAAGCCTCGGGCAGATCTCCCTTAGGTCAAGGGCTGCGTCCCTCCACAGGGAAGCCGAGCTCCTGAGATCACTCCCTTGCCAAGAACAGTCCAAGCGACTACTGCTCCCAGAAGCTCGGTAAGAAAAAGCTACATTTTTCTTAGCCCAGAGGCACACCACCTCGGAGAGCCCTGGTCATAGGTGCCAGAGGAAAACAGCACTCAGAGGGGGGCAAACGCCCCAGGGGTGCTGCTGCCTGGGAGTGAAGGTAGCACTGAGTCGTTGGGAGCTGCAGGCCAGGAGCACAGCCATCTCCAGGAGAGGCTGCTGCTGCAGCCGGCAG